GTCTATACAACCCAACCAACTGATTTAAATGATCTTAAAAATAAAATAAGAGGAGCATGCCATAGTATTACTCACGAGATGATAAGAGCATCGTGTACAAAGGAACTCCTAAAACGATTTCAAGCTTGTGTTGAAGAGGACGGAAGACAGTTCGAACATTTATTATAATAATTATGTATTCTTTTTTTATAACAATCAATAAACTGTACTATTTTTACATTTTATTTTCGAACAAGAATCATAAGTTAGTGTAACCACCAAATTATCAGAAACGGTTAGAGATAGGTATAGGACATATTACATGAAAAATGTGTAGAATTGATTAGAGAATTCAGAATTGTTGAAATATACAGTGTGTCCTATCTGAAATAACAAAATTTATGGTCACATTTGGTATGACCGGAGGTTCTGGATATTGGAAAATACGCTCATCAGATAGCCCACAAGTCATTGTAGCTCCGGTCTGAATTTCATTTAATTGTGATAATTATTATAAAAGTTACAGCCTGTCTAATAAAAGCTGGAACACCCTGTATATGTCAGTGATAACAGGCTCACAGGATTGCCATATCTAAATGTCAGTTCCCACTTGTCAGCAGTTTGACAGGTCGTTAGAATGCCTAATTGTGAGTGCAGGCACAGCTACGAACACTACCAATTCAGTTATATGTTTCAAGAATTTTCTTTATGATTTTTGCTCGATTGAGAAACTTTCATTTGAATTTGAATAGTTTTAGAGGTTTTGAGGTTTTAGATATATTACTCTTCTGTTTAAAATTAAAAAGTTTTGAAGATGCGTAAGTATACAAATATATTTTGTAGCGAAAAAATTCGGTAAATTTTTTTATAAAAATTAATTACCTCATAGATTATTTTCTGAAAATTGTAAAATTAATATATCGTAGGGGGATTTTCAAAATTATTCTACAACTTATTTCAAATAATTCTGACCTTTTGGATTTCGATTTTGCGATTTACGATATTTTAAATTCACAATTTTTATACTCCAGTTTACGTCGCTTAACGTACATTGAAAACTTAACCCACGCAGACGAAGATATGGGCTTAGTATGCATCAATGCATTTCTCATATATACCGATACTGTATAGAGGTATTTGAAGATTTTATAACGAGTCTGAAACGGCGTCTAGCCTGAACTAGTACATCAAATTGCAGTCTAGGAATCTCGACAGTCAATGTTGTCATAGTCAAACGGTAAGGGCATTTGTGTATAGAACAAAGATGTCTGGGTTCGAATCCTAGCGACGACAGGCTTTTTCAAATCTCCAAGTATTTGTTTTCACTGTTGAGGTTCGAGGATGGTCCTAATAATTCGTAGGTGGATTTTTGAGATTTGTTTTCGGATTTTCAAAATTATTCTAATTATCTTATTGTTTGTTGTGTTTAATAAAAATAAACTTTACCAGTCATATTTAACATTTATTTCTAGATTTAGAAGAAAACGTTCGACGAATTTTTCAATTTTTCCAATTTTCCTTCACAGAGAATACTCGATCGCTACAACAAAGAAAAATCAAGGTTATAACGAAAAAAAAAAATCTGCAGATTCATTAAATAGTCTGTATTTCATTTTCCAAGCTTCGTTGATGTTGTACTTTGAATATTTCACAACAAACAACTTTAATATATCAAAGGATTCTGTATAAAAAGTAAATTTGGATTTAATTGTAGTTATTCGCGAACAACCATTAATTTGAATGAGGTATACGTTTATTATGATAATGTCAATAACACGGTGAAAATGTTGTCATTTGGCTCATTAATTCTCCAACTGAGTTTAAATTTCTAGATGTTATCAATGATTTATTATAGTCGAATACAAATGGAATATTAAAATAGTTGAAGCGAATAATTTGGAATCCGTTAAATCTCTCTGAAGTTTAATTTACTTTCTATTCGTAAGGTTCCATTCCAAAGATTATGTTTGCTTAATTGCATTGAATTAACACATCTTGTAAATTTGGTAAGGCGCAATGACACGAAGCGCGATTAAGTAAATTAATTAACTGATAGAAGTACACCCAAATCGTGGCGTTATATGAAAAACTACTAGTAATTTAATCTTATGGAAGTAACCAGTGGCGGCTTGTCATCATTTATAATGGGTGTCAAAACTTTGTAGTGTAGTTATTATTATCAATTTCATACTGCTTTCAAGCACTACAACTATTAATGAATGAATAAATGAATATATTAGTTATTGTAATATTTATTTTGTTTTTAATACGTTGAAAACCATCTATAAAAATTATTAGTTAGTCAACTGGCTTTTCTTCATATTTTGAGATTATTTTTAAATATATATCAGGTTATGTAGAAAGCTTGACTTTGATTTTTGTGTAAAAAATATTATTTTATGAAACTTTACCTACCATTTTTCAGTTTTCATTGCAAATTTAGTCATTTTCACAATTCTTCACACATGATTTTTTTCCACTGGGCTCGTCTGCCTATATCTCCGAATAACACTGAAGCCTATTGGCTTATTGTATTTAACCCCATGTTAGTTCATAGCACCCACTTTGTCACCTTTATACCTTGTACAAGTTTGTACAGATCCTTGGTTGAGTGGGTTCTATACGTTCTTGGATCAACCTGTGGTTGTCCAAAACTAACTTTTGCGATCTAGAGCTTCGCATTCGCGCAGTATGTGTTTGGCCGTTTCTGGTTTCTTGTGACATAGTCGGCACATGAGTTCCCCATTGTACATACCAATTTTGTTCAAGTGTCCCTTTACTGGGGCGTGCCCAGTCATGAACCCTGTTATCACTTTCAACTGGTTCCTATTCATAAAGAGTAGTTCTCTAGTTCTTTTAGGACATGGTATGCCCATAAAGGCTTTTCCATGTGCCTGTTTTGGGGTGCTTCCCCAATAGTTGATGTTGTTCCCGAATCCAGTCGTTTATGAAACCCCGGACTGTACTTTTTGGTACTCCTGCGTTTGTGTCTGATTCCGGTGTTTCTTCTGACCCTCTTTTTGCAAGTTCGTCAGCCTTTTCGTTGCCTTCGATCCCTTGGTGACCTGGCACCCAAAACAGTTTTACTCTATTTCGGTCTGCCAGTGTTCTTAGTTCTTCCATGCATTCCCATACCAGCCTCGATGTAACTTTCTGGCTCGATATGGCTTTAAGTGCCGCTTGGTTGTCTGACATTATTTGAATATGCTGATTTTCGACAGCTCTTTCATTGTTCGTTTTTGCACATTGCAAAATTGCATTGCATATACTTCGGCCTGAAATACCGAGGAATTTATTCCTATAGCATAGCTATGGTTAGTATCAGGGTTTTTGGAGAATACTCCCGCCCTAGTGCCTTCCGCAGTCTTAGACCCGTCTGTATACCAGGTTTGTTCCTGTCGTTGGGCATTGGGACCCCTTATGGTGATATCCTCTCTTTCCTGTATTAAAACCTCAAATAGAGTATTAAAAGAGTACCTCTTGGTTATGTGGTCTGATCTCATGTCTAGCACGTCTCCTGTCACTAACCTTGAGATACTCATGTGATCTGGCCTAATGTCAAGATATCCCAGTGTATTCCCTAATCTGTAAGCACCTAATCTTGCCTCCCTTTGTATCACATAGTAAAGGGATGGGAGTCCTATTAGTGCTTCCATTGTAGCAGTGGGGGTTGTTTTCATTGCCCCCGTTATTCCGAGGCAGGCAAGTCTTTGTACCTTGCTTAGCCTCGTTATTGCTTTCCTTTGCTGTGTCTTTGTATCACACATCTTAAATAAAATAATATATTTTTTAAATACCTTTTATTGGCAAAAAACAAGTGAACTAAAATGTGTATTTTATAAGATCAGTCCCATCACAATACATAATATTACCCAGATACAAACTTATATGAAAATATATGTGTGGCATTTTAAATTATAATTTTCACAATTTAACAGACCCCCTTGAATCACAACGGAAGGACATTTCTAAAGTTTCTTTTGAATTGTGATTTGGGGTGCTAACTTAGATTTTATTAAAACTGTGACTGGTTGTGGTAAATCAATTAATAGACCATCATATAATTTGAGATACAACTAGTGAGTAGCGGGGAGTTTAGGGAAACTACTGCTTTCTTTTTTGGTGTTGGTGTTTTTCTTTTTACATAATACTGCTGTCACAAAAAAATATTTTATCGTTATGACAGTTACCAAAGCAACTCTTATATACAGGTTGATTACTTTTTCTTGTTAAAAAGTGAATTTTTAACACCCCTTAACCCCAACTTTCAATCAGATTTTTGTCAGAATCAATAGGCTTGTAGAACTTGATTTTTTCCACAAAAATCAAGTTGATATTATTATTTGTCTTTGAGTTAGATTTATTTTAAATATTTCAACCCCCTTAACCGCCTTTTTTTTATTAAATTTTTTTCACAATCAACAGGCCTTATCTCCCTATAAAGCTTAATTTCTACTAAAAATTTCATGTTGATATCGCTTTTCATTTTTGATTTATCATTTTTTTTTTTAATTTCAACCCCTCTTAAACCTCCATTTTTTCAGATTTTTTTTTTTCAATTTCAATGTTCTTATTATAGAGCTTGATGTTCGTTAAAAATTTCAAGTTGATATCAATTTTTCGTTTTTGAGTTAGGATTTTTTTTAATATTTTATACAGATTTTTTTCAGAATCAATAGGCTTTATCTCTTCTTATAGAGTTTAATTTTTACTAAACATTTCATGTTGATATCGCTTTTCGTTTTTAATTTAGGATTTTCTTTTAATTTCAACCCATCGTAACTCCCTTGTTTTTTGCTTAAAATGTTTAAGTTGATATCATATTTCGTTTTTGACTACTGTGTGAAGAGTAGAATAATAATATAATCAAGGCTTAAAACAATAATATAATAGCCTAAACTAAAAAATAGGTACACTAAAAGAATGATAAAATCAAAGTTTTGAAAATTATTTAATAGCTATATCAGAACTTCGGAGATAAACTGTGCTATATCATTCTAGTCAACTTTTTAATAGAGCAGATTGAATGTTGGTTGGACACTTTTCGTGTTCCATATATTTACATATAATAATTATATTTCGACAAGAAATGCAGTTAGCCCCAATTATTGTCATATTATGTATTGTCCAACATCATAAATGGTAATCGCTTGTCATGGATTACGCATCAACCACGAATCCATGGCAGAATAATAATACTTTTTAAACGGTCCAAATATCGACCCATCTAAAGGCTGCATTTTCGCTGAGGTGTGACATCTTTGTTAAAGGCTAGAATGAATAGTGGGAGCGGTCTGTCTTCTCTGCTCAATAGCTGACTTACTTCGAGTATTTTAGTCCCTATATTTTTTAGGTCCTCTTTGATTTTTTCTGGTTGACAAGATAAATGCAACTTTCCCACAACTACCTTAATTGGCCTTGACTGTTTATTTTCAAAAACCATTCCATTTCAGTATTGTTCAGCGCTTGTTTAAGAGATCTATATGTAATTTCATCTTCTACATTGATTTTCATTACCTCCAGATACCGTGGTGGCTTGATGTATGTCCCATAAGATGTGGCACACATTTCAGAGACCAAATAAGTGGCAAAAAATACATTTATTTGTGATTCAAATCAATTAACGTTTCAGAATCAACAAAACTATAAATTTAAATTAAATAAAGAGGGCCATAATCATCCATAGAGAGCAACTTCCTGCGAATACCTAACATCAGATTTTGGACAGTGTTAAAATCGATTTCTCGGATCGTCTTTTTATATTCGGCGTCGAAGTTCCTCTTCATTTTGGGCTTCCCATCCTCCTTTGTAAGCTTTTTGCGATAAAAGAGCACAACAATCTTCTATGGGTTGAACATGAGGAAGGTTAAGGGAATTGTCGTTTCGCGAAACAAATGCTACGTTTTGGTTGGCTAGCCAATTTTGAGTTTGCCTTGCATAGTGACAGGACGTAAGGTCTGGCCAAGTAGCCAAAACCTCCGGGCAAGTAATTGCTCGGAGGCCAAAACATAATATATCATCCCCAGTGTGTTTTGGCTTTTTGATTATATCTGACATTATTAGGGACCTTGTCAATATTGTCAGTATAAAAACCATCATTTTCTTTCATTTCGGAGTTGCTCGGTGTGAAGTACTTTTCGTCATCCATAATGATCACCTGGTTGTTGGTAAATTGTACCCTTCTTAATGCACGGTAGCATCTTGGAATTCTGGCTAGCTGGTTGACAGTATATTTTGGAACTTTTATTTTTTCTATATTTTTGACTACTTCGGAATACTTCCCGCGGTATAGTGTTCTTAGATGTGTTATATTGGCGTGCTAGTTTTCTAAGCTAAGTACCAAGCGTGTCTTTTGCTCTTCTTACCAGTTTTTCGATTCTTGCTTGGGTCAATATTCTAGGTCTTCCACTTTTTAGAAGGTTCACACACGGAATACCTTGCTTAAATTTAGCGATTGTCCGATTGTGGGGTACATTATCTGAATTAATAATTAGTGGACTGCAATTGTTAGGGCTTCGCTAGTAGGTCCTGAAATGGCGTGTAAACGAAAACGATGCACTTTACTTAACACTTTTTTTTTAATTTGGTGTCATCGGCATCACAGATCACTTAGTTTTAGAATTGAAACGGCAATGTTAAAATTCGAGACAGTATTGTAGCGCCAGGTGACCGTTCTTTGAACTATTTGGACGGAAGTGGCGCCATGTATAGCGGTCACAAAACGCGGGAACATTCAAAATTGTCATTCAATATTTAGTTTAAAAGTGGTAGTCAAATTAAGATTTGTTCATACTCCTTTTTTACGTTTATTGTAGCAATTAAATTATATTTGTATGTGGAGGTAATCACATACTTTGATTTTCTTTTACTATACGGAGAATGGTCGCACTGCGCAGCTTTCTTAGTGCCTTTTAAAAGGAGATAGAAAACTCAGCCATTTTGAACCATTATTACGTGTTGCCTACATCTTGGCGCAATATTTTTAATAGGTGCGTTTTAATCATCCGCTTCTGCTTCGGAATTGTCGGTTTTCTTGTTTTAATCTGACAGGTTAGAACGACTAAACCGACAATTCCGGAAGCAGAAGCGAATGATTAAAACGCACCTGATATTTTGCTTGATGCTGTCAGTGTTAGTGAATATTATTTTTGGAGTCACAGTTTATTGCTAAAGAATCAGTTAGACCACTCGGACCAGTTGAAAGTTCCAAAATAACATCCACTCCAGGGATACAAATTCAGGATACGCAGAAGACTGTTGTTTTATTATAGGCGGTTGTCATATATTGTATTATCTGAGTTGCGCAGTGTATAAACTGGAACATTGAGATAAAAAGTGCCGTCGCAGAGTGAGCGATCTGATTCTTTAGCTATAAACTGTGTCATATGGTTCAAAATGGCCGCGCCCTATGTTGGGCGTGTCGGACCTCTCTCTTGCCCCGTATAGTAATCAAAGTATGTGGGAGGTAATGGATGCCTGACAATGACAAATGACACTCCCACTCTTTTCACCATCAATTGTAGATTTCTGTAAATTGTGTGTAGAGCGCCCTCTAGAATTAGTTCTTTGAAACTAAAACATCGTTTCAGTTCCAGCTATACCAGTTACCGATACCTGATCGGCAACGACTACTAAGGCCATAGCCTCGTGTCCTGTGTAGGATTTGTTAGTGTTTCCCAGCGCCACTTTAGGAAAAGCACTGTTAATTAGAACCCAACAGTGAATGGTCGTGTGGGGAATCCTACCAAGGCATCAGAATTAATTTTAAATAATTAAATTAAACAAAAAAATCCCGGCCAACGGTGGGATTTGAACCTGGGACCCTTGGATCCACAGGCAGAGACTCTACCACTGAGTCACCCACCCCTTCTTAACATTTTTATTTACAACATAACTATATACACTATGAAAGATGTGATAATTAGCCAGAGTTACATAAAATGCCCAGAAGGCAGAGCTTGATAGGGAATATAAATTATAATGCAATAAAAATGCAATCTATTATGACTGCTACTGCTGAACAGTTCATAGTGAAGTGACAGTACTTCCTTTCTGAATCAAAACCAGCAGGAAATCGAGTTGTCAATGTTATCAACTTAAAGTAACTAATGAAATAATAGTGGTGGAGCTATATTTTAATTTTTAAAAATGCGTATTATCTCAGCTTTACCGACTCATCCGAATTTCTATTTTGAAAACCATATCGACTAAACCACTTCAACAGCACTGTTGATGCCAAAAAACTTTTTTTTTGTAGCAGCCTCTTGTCTTATTCTTATCTTCACTTTTATGATTTCTGAATTTTGTGATAAAACTTATGGGACATACGTTATTACTAATTTACATAAAAATAATTTTTACCAACCAATGAATAATTTCCGTTTTTTTCCTGTGTAATTTTTAAAAATTGCCTATATTTTTCAGCATATCTAAAATCGAGTGATGCTTTTAGAAGTATTTTTCTCCTCAAATACCATCCTAAATCTGACCAACTCAAATATTTGCTTCAAAAATAATGCGTTGTAGAGAAAATGGAATAACTCGTTGAGCAGGTAAATGTTGGTCCTTTGGGAAATAAAAATTTAAATCAAGGGTTAATTGGAATGTTAAATAATTGACGCGCATATTGACGAAGGTGTGTTTGTTCAAAATACATGGTTGATGCTATTTTAATTTTTTTATCTAAATGAATCCAGTGATATAAAAATATATAGCTATTTCATTATTATTATTATGCTAACATTAAATATATTCACTATATTAGTAATAAAAAAAGTTAAAAATCCAATAAAAAGACTGTTAGGGTCCGATTACAATTAGAAGGACACATCTACGTCATCATTTGGCAAAGTAGTTAATTATCGCCGCCTACTGGGGGTTTAGTGGAGTGTTAATATTAGACGAATCTAGGAAATATTGTTATTGTACCTAATAACTTACTTATTTTTTATTTATAAATATTTATAGATGTATTCGAAAATTGAAGTAATGGTTATGACGTAGCGGTGTTCATCTAATTGTAATCGGACCCTACCATGTGTATCATGAATGCACTTTTTTTCTATAGTTTTTACAGGAGAAGGATAATATACACGTGGGTGTAGAAAAAAATTCCAATAATAGGAATTGATCGCATAATATACGAAAACTGATTGAAATATATGTATACAACCACTCATTTAGGTTTAATAATTTTTTTTTTGTAAATACTTTGGAACTATTATGAAAAATAAATGTACATAACGAAAAGTTAGAATCAACTATTTTTCGAAGTTAATAATAATAATAGTTCTTTATTTCAGGAGTATGTTACAGATACATAAAACTAAATAGAGTTAAACAGAATACATGAACAATATTGTCTTAGGTCATCAAAAACTCATTTAGATTATATGGTTCCCTGTTAACTAAATATATAAATAACACTTTCTTGACTTCTGTCAATTCATTAATTGTTTTAATATATCTGGGGAGACTGTTAAATATTTTGATACAATTATAGTAGGCTCCACGTTCTGTCATTGTTAATTTGTGGTGTGGATAGACATAGTCTTGGTTTCTAGTGGGATACACCGACTGCGATTTATTAGTGTCGAAAAGATGTTTGTTTTTAATAAAAACAAAACACATTCATGTACATAGATTGCTGTCAATGTTACTAATTTATTTTGTTTAAACTTTCCTCTACATGAGTCTCCTACTTTCATTCCTAAAATATTTCGCAGAGCTCGTTTTTGGCAGATAAATAATCTTTCAATTTCAATACAACTTCCATAAATTATAATACCATACCTAATATTACTTTCAATTGTAGAATGATATACCATTTTTAAGGTTGAACAATCTAGATATTTCTTTAATACTCTAAGACTATATGTCGCTCTACCAAGTTTTTGTCGTGTGTACTCCACATGATCAGACCAAGATATGTTGTTATCCAACACCATTCCAAGAAATTTGATACTTTTCTGTGGGGCCAGTAAAACATCATGTGTCGTATAAAAAATGTACACAACCGAAATGATGGTAAAAAACTTACCGGTAGATGCTGGTTCGTTCTCAAATATTAGGGTTTCACCACCTATGGAGGGAAAATAGAAGGGATAGAGAGGAAGGTGGTTATTATTAATACCCGAAATAGGCAAACGAATTATCGATTGAATATTAATTATTGTAAGACCGTAATCTATTCTTTTCACGTTCGAATTCAAGTCGCTACTGACTTTAACATTTAAAAATTGTGCGCAGGTATGCCTTTTAGAACTGCAATGGTTCCTAATAAGTAGGCAACACTAATTGCCAAAACATCATGTAATGTGAAACTTTGTGGTTCAGCAATTCGTGACCATTTATTTTTAAAAAGTAGTAGATTTGTCTTTTCCCTATTTATAATCAATTTATTTTTTGTAAACCATTCATTTCCCACTTCAAGAATGTGGCTTGCTCTTTGCTCCAACTGCATCATTGTACCACTTTTAACCAGTATATTCGTGTCATCGGCATAAGTTGTTATAGAGCACCAGTCCACATTTTCACTTATTTCCTCTATATTATTAATATATAGTACAAATAGAATTGGTCCCAGTACGCTTCCCTGTGGAATTCCTAGACCTACATATTTATCATCAGATATAATTTGTTCTTGATCATTTTTTAATTTAACTCTTTGTATTCTCTGATCCAGATATGAACTAATCCATTTTAGTGATGTTCCCATATTTGTCTAATTTGTTTAACAATATATCATAATTTAACATATCATATGCTTTTGACTGGTCTAAAAATAATCCCAGTGGTAAGTTGTCATTTTCCATGTTGGTTAAAATTTGATTTGTAAATTGGAATAGTGTAGTTAAGGTTGATTTATTTTTTATAAATCCATGCTGGACGTTGTTTAGCTGTTTGGTAGTTTCCATAAAGTTTATGATTTGTTTACACATGATTTTCTCAAATATCTTGGAGAAAGATGGTAACATACTAATTGGTCTGTAATTTTCCATTTTAGAGTCATCACCTTTTTTATAAATAGGGACTATAAGTGAAACTTTTAGGGTATCGGGAAAAATGTCAAATTTCATGGAATTGTTGATAATATGACAAAGATGGTTGCCTATAATATTTATAATGTCTTTAATTAAATTCATGGAGATCTCATCGTATCCAGCACTATGTTTGTTTTTAAGTGTTCGTACGCATTCGAGTAATTCTTGTTTATTTATATTTTTTAATGTCATTTCTTGTGCATAGGGCTGGATAGTGGAAGAAAAAGGAATATCATTTAAATTTGATAATAAATTCGGGGCAGCATCGCCAAAAA